AAAATGACTGCAATCATTCATGGACTTTATCTTTGCTGGAATAGCATATTCAAAATAGTAAAAAACTCGATCTAATTGCATTGAAACTATTAATTTTGTTTTGAAAAGTTGAGATGAAAATACCTTTCAAGGATATAGCTAAAAATGTTAGAAATTTATCTCATAGAAAATGGTAGATGGTGTTGAGTAAATAATATCTTTGTGGATTGTGTTGTGAGTATAATAATATCTTTGTGGATGTTCATATATCTCTCATTAGATTCTATTGAAAGTAAAGTTGTTGTGCCTATAAATAGAGACCATGTATAATATATTAAGTACTTTGAATGGAAAAGAAATACTCTCTCTTGTTGATCCTCTTTTCTCTCTGTATGATTCTTCTCTATATTTTTTTTTATTTATAACAGATTGTAATTAAATGTTTCTAGAGATAGTAATACCATAGTTGATCACCTGGCTAAACTTGCTCACGATCTTGTAGAAAAATTTTGTATCTTTTTTTTTTCTTACAAGGGGCGGGATCGAACCCACAATGCACACCCCCACACGCACACACCACTTGGCCAAACGACCAGTTGTTAGTTGCTCTTGCTCAGGTTAGCTTTTAGGCTTTTCAGTTTGGAGTTGTAGTTTTCTGTTAAAATAATATTATTCAACATTTATTGAAAAAGTAAAAAAGAATGGGAAAATTCCAGATTAAAGCCATTTGAATATACATAATTTCATATTGGGTCCTGGAATTGTCTAAATGACAGAAAGGGTCAATGACCCAATCTGTCATTTCTAAAATAAGAGCAATTAACAATTTTGTCTTCATTTGTATTCATTCACTACAATAATTTAAGGAATTACTACAAAGGTTTAGGTGTTACCTAGATTTATGTAAAAAATAACTATTTATTTTTTGTAGTCAGGAATGCCCCATAAAAAGGTGACTTGTTATTAACTACAACTAATTATGTGATCACTAGAACAGTATAAGCATTACCTAGATTTGTTTAGAGAATAACTACTCACTTTTATTTCATTTGTATTCATTCACTATAATAATTTAAGGAGTCACTATAAAGGTTTAAGCGTTACCTAGATTTGTGTAAAGATAATATTCGCTTTTTCGTAGTCAAGAAGCCCCATGAGAAGATGCCTTGTTATTAACTATAACTAATCATATAATCACTAGAATAGTATAAACGTTACCTAGATTCGTTTAGATAATAACTACTCACTTTTATTTAATCAGGACAAAATTGTCAATTATTCTTAATTTTAGAAAAGACAGATTGGGTCATTAACCCTTTCTGTCATTTACATAATTCCAGGACCCAATCTAAAAAATTATGTATATTCGAAAGCTTTATTGGGGATTTTTTCAAAAAGAATACGGCAATATAATTGAGTCGATGAAGCTAATTTAAGACTTGAAAAACATGACAAACGGAGTCAAACATGATAGGAGTTTTTTAGCCTGTTTGGTTGGATTACATAAATGGGAAATACAGTAATCCTAATGCATCACCACATTTCCGATGTTTGGTGGTCAAAAAATAGTGTAATGGGTATTACTGATAGCATTATGATTCCCTTAAATCCAGTAATAGGGATTACATTAAAAAACCTATGTAATCCCCATTACCACCACTCAGAATCCACTCTTGACTTTCCTACCCTTCATCCTTGTCATGGTGTAGCTTCAACCTTCAAACCACATCGAAAGCAATCTTCACCTGTATGCTCTCTCACAACACTGACAGCCGTCATTGGCAGCACGTTATCGCATAAACGAGAACCACATCGTCCTTCTTATCCATGAAGAATTTGCTCAAATCTGAAGACCACGGTTGCTCTTCCAGATCCAAAGCCACAAAGGGACAAATGAAGGTTGTGAAGAGTTTTTCTCAAACCCAAAAATTTTTCTATCAAAATCTAAGCCACGATTGTGATTTTGTGGGCGATGGTGGCAAGGGGAGGAGGACAATGGTGGGGGAGAGAGTTTTCTCTATTAGGGATATTTTTGTCCTTACGCGCTTATTTAAATTTAATTAAATCAAAATATTAAACTCCATTGTAGAGCGTACCAAACACAGTCATGTAATGCATATTGCATTTGCATTCCTTCTTTCCATAACACTCCATTTCATTACTGACATTCAATGAACCAAACAGGTTTTTGTGTTGATTATAAGCTGGGCTCAATCACGTGGAAAAAGGGACGAGGGACTAGTTCTTCAGGCATAATAGATCTGATAGACTGATATCATTAAGTGCCTCTGCGGCTCTGCCTTCATGGATTTGAGCATATTGAAGCTCAAGATGTTCAAACCGGTTTCTTTTTAGGTGCATAATGATCAGCTTTAATAGCGATTTTGTCTTGGCTATAATCATAAGAAAGAGAGAAAAAATATCTTTTTCATCAAAGACAAAAAAATATAATAGATATTAAATAAGAATAAAATTAAAAAAATTATTAAATTTTTAAATAAATTTAAATTTTTTTTTATTTGTGTGAAACACATTAAAAATAAGTGTTTTTAATGGCCACCCCAAAACGACCCCCTCATTGTCTGGAAGGTAGTCGTGCCCCCACTATGTTCTCCTCAATTTCCTCGAAGATCTAACTCCACCCTTCAATTTCGTTTCAAGAGAATTATGGCGTAAGCGTCTGATTCTCAGGAAGCTCGTTATGCCCCATCAATCCGTCGTAATATCTTGAAGAACTTGCAGTGAGCCGTTCATAAGAGTTGGGAGGGAAATTCATGTAATTAATTATTAAGACAATTTGATGACACTCCAGTACTCCACTCCACTTCTAATAATTCGAAATCAGACCATTAATGTATATAAATTTGAGATGAATCCCAAACTTCAATTCATTTGCTCTGGATTGAGATCTGGTCGGTTTTGCTGCGATAAACTTTCACAAACAAAACATCGCGGTCCATATGAGTGTTTTTACTACTACTTCATCTTCATTTATGGAATTTTGTTCCTTCCCATTTTCAATCCTCATGACTTCAAAAGTGTCTCAGCAACTCCATCAGTTTGGTTTTAATAAGATTTTGCTCTTCTTGTCTGTGAACTGAATATTATTCACACATGGACAAAGCTCAATATGGCTTGGATTGCAGAGCAAAGACAAGCCCTAGTTGAAGATCTAATCCGAATCTCGTCAAAAAGAAATAGTTTTACAGTGAAATAAAGATTCATTCTTTTTTCTAATACGACTATGAAATTCTTCGACAAATATAAAACGAAGACAACTAAAATATAGGAACATCTGAATGCATGAGCCTTATGGAAAGGCAAATGCCAGAATCTCAGCTCCACATCTTTATCGGCAACGTACAGCACTGAAAGCGCTATTGAACAAGCGAATCAGAGACTCTAATTTGTTGCCTTATTCTTTACAGAAACTCAGAATTCACAAAGATCAGTTTTGAAAAAAACGACATAAAGGAATGGGCTCAGCAATGATTGAGATAACATCAACAAACCCACAACAGAGCTTTCATAGTTTGATGGTATATATTTCATTCATCACCGCCACCAATTGTCGTCGCAAAAGAAGAAAACAAAAAGATTGAAAATTTGAAGTCAGAAACGTAAATATGAGGAGAACGAAAGCAGGCCTCAGATTGAATAGTTAAAGAATGCTTCAGAGAGAATTCTCAGATGGTACGGACAAATGATTGGGCATCACAGGCCACGGAGGAATTAAAAATACGAAGAAATTGAAGAAAGAAGAGGAAGAACACTAATCGAAGAAGTAAAGAAGGATAAAAACCTGATGCAGAATCGAATCGGTGAAGGAGGTTGCCAATAGGGAGGCTTAAATAGATAGAAATGGGGAGGGAAAGAGGGAGGAACAAGGGAAACCCTAATTTGAGGTTTGGGCTTGGGCCTCAATAACATCCCATCTTCAAACCCAATCACTAAATCTTTTAGGTTTCCCATTGAGTTTGTACCAGCATCGAGTGTATGCACTTGGGGCCAGCGATGAAAACGTGCCATTAATTATTAATATTTTCTAGTAATGATAGTATTTTTTTTTAAACAAAAAAATGATTTCTCAATGAGAACTCTATAATATTTCAAAGATGATTTTTATAATTTTTGGGAATATAAATAGAATTAATCATTTATAATATTAATGAAAATTTTTTTCTTAATTCATTAATAATATTTAAAATTTTCAATTACAATTAAATATAATTATAAATCATGATTCTTCGACCGCTTTTTTTTTTTTTTGGTATATGGTTACTGCGCTCAACATTCTGTGCGTGATCAAGATTTATCATAAAACGCCTGAGTCATATACTTCACTGATCAAGATTTGTGGGATTGATCTGCTATCCAGTGAGCTCCTCCTTGTCTGCTCTGTTTTGGCAAGTTGTCCTTCTCACACCTGAGTTCGATGGCATGGTTTCATCATCCGAAACAGTACAAGATCATCATCGCCATCATACATTAATTCACTTGTTCGTGGGCACTACCTAGGGAGGCCACACAAAACCATTCTCATTTTCTACCAAAGAGCGTCAAATATAAACGAGCCTTAGAAGTGGCGTAGAAAAACCAAGAAACAGCAGCAAAGAGCACCAACGTTATTGATGTTAATCAGCTGAATCCAAGAAGAAACATTCTCGTACACATCAAGGGGAGCGCGTCTGACAGACTCCACATTCATTATCCTTCCTTGGTGTTGATCATCATAAGAGCCGGGTTCGATCACATGAAAGACGATTACATACAATCCTGTTGTATAAAAGACGAGATGCAGAGACTTGATTCAGACTTTTCTTTCATCTTGAAATTTAGCTATTATTATCCATCACTGATTGTACTAATCCTGAGATTTGTATAAAAACGCCTGGTCCCAGTGATCTGAGATTTGTATAACTTATGCCAACGAACAGCGTAAATCAGTCATTCTTAAAATGCCAGGGCTGTGAAATGAATCTCTCAAGGCCGCATATGAAACCGAATTCCAGTCGACCGTGTAACCAGGATGAACTCACGTCTTTATTTCTTTCTCAGCGTATGTAGAAGTGATGCTTAACATCGCATTATTACAAGTTATTATCAAAACCAAAACCTGAGACCATGTAACCTAACTAATCGAGACTTTAAATAAATATCCGGCGTCAAAACTGTAATGGTTTTGTTTTCAGCTGTGGGCTCCCACCAAAGCCATGTGCTCTACCAGGTCCAGCACTCGGTTGCTGCAAAACACAAAGCGGTCACCCACCAATCGCAAGTTAGTAAGAATTAAAAGGTCCCTTTTTGCTTTTGAATATGGTTAACATGATGAAATGAAGTCAGCGCGACACAATTTCAAGCGCAAAACATCATGTCATGCTGTCGAACACAACCGCATTAGTGTAAAGACAATACCTGTACCCCCACTCGTTGTCATACCAAGAAATCAGCTTCATGAAAGATGCGCTAAGCCCAATCCCGGCTTTAGCGTCAAAAATACTCGACCTGTTAAAATCAAGTCGATGATATATGATAAGCCACTCATACAACAAATCTTTATTAAGAGTATCACAACTTTTGAAATCCTGTTTCAACTAACAGAAAGATAATGGAGGGTTGTCATATTTGATTTAGGATATTAATATTTTGAGCACTTCCCTGATGAATTCATTCAAATCCGTACTACTTTTTTTTTTTTTTAAAATGATGCCTCACTTGTAAACTGAGAATAAAATATTTTTTTTGGGGGGGGGGGGGTTGGTTTTGGTTTCAGATGCATAAGATGTTAAAACGCATCAAGAGAGTTCATCTCTTCAGGAAGCTCATATAATAATTGATCAATATCAAAATAAGGTAATCGAAGAAATTTTACCTTGGATCACCAATGAAGTCATTGGAGACAACATCCTCGTCAGTGTATCCAAGAATGCCTTTCATTGGTCCCTCCGAAGCATGCCTGGAGATAATAATCAACAGAATAATTAGCCAAGAAAGCCAACTGGAGTTGATTCTGGAATCAAAAGCAGATAAATTATGGCATACTTGACTGCTGCTTTGATAGCTTCATAGGAAGCACTCTTCTGAAGCCGAACAGTCAAGTCTACAACAGAAACGTTGGGGGTCGGGACCCGGAATGCCATCCCAGTGAGCTTCCCATTAAGGTCAGGAAGAACTTTCCCAACAGCCTATGATTTCATAAAAACTGAACTCATTAATAACCTTTAACAATTAAGGATACAATACCTAAAAAATTTGAAGACCTCCTCGTCAATCTCTTACTTTCGCTGCACCAGTTGAACTTGGAATTATGTTTTGACCAGCTCCTCGTCCTCCACGCCAATCCTTCATAGAGGGACCATCTACAGTCTTTTGTGTTGCTGGACAATGAATAGAATTATCATGCCACGCGTACCATGTCAGCATACCAGGAAATGGTTTAACACCCTCCTCCCAACCTTTAAAACAAAAAAAGTGGGGGGGGGGGGGAGTGGCAAGTGTGCAGAGGATACCTGTTGTAGCATGTACAGTTGTCATCAGGCCTTCAAGTATGCCAAACTCCTCATGAACCACCTAAAAGATGGTAAATATATGACATACCGCATGGCAAGAGAATGAAAACAGGGCCTTGTATATAAGTTGAAGGTCAGAAAAAAGGTATGAATTATGACACATTATAGATATCTCTTTTCTTTCTGGATTAGTCACAAAAGCATTCTAATTTCTAATACTATTGAACCCTTGAACTTACCCTTCTCCTTCACGTTTAAAAGGAGGATCTACCCCAAGACCTAGACGTTGTAGGCTTTTCTACCATTGAACTATATCACGCTTAACCTAGGGCATGCAAATCCATCAAGATTATATCACAAAACAGCACAAGTTTAATATAGCTTGCTACCACAGGATGTAATGAAACCTTGGCAAGAGGAGCAAGACAATTTGTAGTACAGCTTGCATTGGACACAATGTCCATGTTTGGCTTGTATATTTTCTCATTCACTCCCACCACAAACATTGGAGCATCAGCAGATGGAGCTGAAATTACAACTTTCTTGGCACCACCCTACAGAGTACCATAACAGAAAGCAAATGAAGCTAGAAAGAATCGACGAGGGACAAGGGTCATATAGAACACTTGAATTACAAATAAATGAGATAGCGACCTTTAAATGTGCTGAAGCTTTCCCCATTGTTGTAAATACTCCCGATGACTCAACAACAAAATCAGCCTCAAATTCACCCCAGGGGATCTCTGCAGGGTCTCTGCATCAAGAAATAAGGCGTGTATACATGTTAACGCAAATTTGAAGTATTGTGGTCAAGCAAGTAGTAATACACATGTTCCTGACATGTATTTCAATCATTAGAATTCTACACACCTTTTGCTCACAACTTTAATCTGCTTCCCATTAATTTTCAAAGTAGATTCATCCAAAATATCAATTGTCCCCTTGAACGGTCCATGAGTAGAATCATACTTAAGCATATAAGCCTGAAAGAAGGAAAAAATAAATATAGACAAAAAAGAAAATAAAACTAAAAGATAATAAAGACAAATTAACAAAGAAAAATGAAGAACAATACAGTCGCAATAAGGTCTCCCAAGCATTATAACTTCTCCAGTTATACAGTGCACATGCAATTTATCGCCAAACCCCCAGTCCTAGTTGGGTTAACACTTGATATAAAATTCAAAACCATTATAATAATCTGACTACCCCGCGCGGGAGGAAGGAGAAGTAAACCCAGAGTGCTTGTCAGCACTGATAATAAAAACCAACAGTTGCTCCTAGCATCAATTAACTTTGAACATCGGGGGGGCTTAAGGTGGAAAAAATCCAGCATTGATCAATGGTTTATGAAAGCCCTTTACGAATTAAAAGAAATACAAAGGTCTCACGTGAAGTTGAATAATCCATACATTATTATACTACTGCAAAAGATTAACGTAAATCAGACTATGTCATCTACACTACTCAATGTAGTTCAGGGTTTTATCAATCATTTATCAACTAGAGTTTTATACTGATACGGATTAACTAAAATATAACATGCGTCACTAGGAGATGGTGCATATATTCATATAAGCAATATTAACAAAGCATTTACACATACATACCATATATTTGGCATCGATAAAAGGATCATTAATCGCTACAACTTCAATATCATCCCTTGAAGTAGCTATACGCAAAACCAACCTTCCAATTCTCCCAAAACCTGCAATTCCAGCAAGAAAATATGGGTTCTTTCTGGAACCAAACTGACATAAACTTGCGGAGTATGTTTTCTGGCCAAGTAAACTGCATATTCCAAAGCACGAAAACTCTACAACTTAGATTTCACCAAACAATGCCCAAAAATGAGTGGGTTTCCAATTTCATCTTCAGAAAATTCAATGGTTCAGGGAACTTTCAGATTCAGATGTCACTGTCATAAACGGCAGCAGTTCCATTGAGCACAAGAGTGAGGTAGTTGCATGAATTTATTATGTGACATTATTGCAAACAGGATCCAAAATACACATCAGAGATAATGTATTTTGTCAAAAAGAACCATTGTTGTAGGAAAAATGAGACTTCCTATGCAAACAGAAGCGTGGTATAGAAAGCATCAAGTACATAGGTTTCAAATTCGACGAGATAAAACTTCATAATAACTAAGAAAATTAATTCCACCTTTCTGGCATCTAATGAGATTATTAGACTGAAACTAAAAATCAATCAGAGGACAAAGTCACTCCTTCTACATCCATTTTTCTAAACTCCACGAGTGAATGAAAATTTGAAATGGGGACAGGACATAAATGACTGGAAACTTACCATTAATTCCAACTCTAATCTTCGCTCCGCTCCTTGATTCTAAACAAAACAAAACAACCAAGAGTAACAATAAAATTGCTGCCCGTAAATTAACCTATTATATACATAAGATAAGCATTATTCATACTCTGCAGAGGGACTGGGATTTCAGTAGCTGTGGCTTTGATGGGCTGGATAATTCTGGCATAGGAGTTTCTGAGAAAATTATAATATTTCATGATCCCACAATAATAAAAGGTCAGAACAACTAAAAAAAACGAAAAGAAAAGGGAGAAAAAGAATATCTGCACTGAATCAAAAGTTTGAGCAACTCAACCGTAGGACTAGTGATTCAGCTGGGAGTGAAGTTCCAAATAAGCTAGATTGTAAACTTTTAGATTTTAGGTTGCAACTCGATGCATGGCATGACACCTGAATGATAAATAAGTAAGCAAGATGTTATGGAAAGGATATAACAACCCTGAAACTACCAGGGAAACAAGCACCTACCTTTTAAAAAATAAACTCAGTTTAACTGTTAAAGAAATCAGGAAGGGGAGGGAAAAATCAGAATAGAAAATAGCTGGGAGACATTCAATTTTCTTCACAATTCCTCGGGCATTTTGAGTTAACGTGTTACTTTACCAACTTTTACAGTCACAAAAGAGAACATCGCACATAAAATTATTTCTTCCTTCCCCTTCCCCCTGTTGCATAGTTAACCCGACAGAGGGCACCAAAAACCAATCGGTTTGAATTTGAAACTTAAATGGAGGAAAACATTGTTAAAATCATAGCATACGATAAGTTATAATGTAATCTCTAATCAGAAGACATGATATTATCGTAGCCCGTGATTTCAAGTCTTGTTCGAAGGTTTAAAAAAAAGCCTTCAGAGTTCGGAAAAGTGCAGGAAAACATAAGAAACAGCCAATAGACAAAAACACGGTCGTCTAAAACAAAATCCGAGCAAGAGTCTTCTTTTCTTTAAGGCCAACAAGAGTCCTTTCTTTAAGTTAACTAAACCACAGCAAATATGAAATGCCACGCTCATTTCAAATCAGAATTACACTTTCACTAGTGAGTTTAGCTCACGAAGCTTTGCAGCACTTCTTGAATCAAAGCAAGACACGTACGAGTCACCAAAGACCGTCACAAATACACGTATTAAGACACCAAAGACCACTACAAATATTAAAATTTACATCTGAAGTTCAAACAATATGTCATATTCCATCTTATTCCCCTTCTTCCAAGCTCAAAAGTCAAAACAAACAAACAAACAAACAAACACAAAAAGCTAGTTTAAAAACCAGAAAAACAAAATAAAATACGAAAATCTAACGTGGCGCAAAAATCCTCAATGGACGTATGCATATGAAACGAGTGAAGAACATGGTTGACAGGTTAGAGAAAGAGAGAAGGAGACCTTGAAGCCATGAGAGGAAGAAGGTGAGAGGTCAGCGGATGGAGAGACAAGCGCAGATCTCAGGAGAGAAGATGCAGCCATTGGAGAGGAGAAGCAAAAGCCCTAGACGAAGGCCGGAGAAGGGAAAGACAAAGGTTTGCTCCGAATTCGCTTGCACTGCTTCTTCCGGGCGTGGCTTCTCCTTTTAAATGCCACCGGAGCTTCCTATGAAATGTAACTATTACCACCTCCCCCTCTCCCCCTCTCCCCTCCTCTCTCTACACGACAAAACCACTTTGGTATAAGGGCTAGTATCCTCTGCAAGCGAGGGTAAATTGGACAAGGACAAAACCAAATGGTCATATTTTATTATGTAATCATTTTCATTTGCGCCAATAATGCGTGCTTTATCCATTTTATATTTACATAATTACATCTTTGCTTCTTATAATCTTCACAGTTTTTAAAAATATGTCTTTTCATTTTATTTATTTTTTTTGTAAAATTAAAATTTAGATGAGTTGGGTTTGGAAGTCATATGATTAGGACATGTCTTCAAGTTTAAAAAATACTTTCAGAGATATTTACAAATTTCCAATTAATAAAATTCTCACATTGGAAACTAAATTTAAATTTATAATCTTATAAATTATGAGTTGACTTATTACTAACCAGATTAACTCTTACTAGTTCATTTTATTTATTTTAATGTAGTTAACAAGTCAACATGTTCTCTCACGATAAAATATCATTACTTACAATTTTACAAACCACATCTAAACTCAAAATTATACACAAAAAAGTAGTCATTATTTAAAAATTAGATTGAGGCGTATTTCTTGTGAAATTTTAAGTGAGTCATATCGTATTATTTATCAGTTTTAAATTTTAAATAATATAGCCTCATTGCAAATTCTGGATTGGAAAAAAAAAAAACCATAGCTCCAGCCTCCAGATGTCGAGTGGACCCAATGACGGTGGTTTTGATGTGATGAGATGAGGATGCAGAGGTAGATATGGTGAGGGCATGAGCAGCGGAGCCTTTCTGGATTCTCCAAGAGAGTTGCGTAAAGGGTGTTTGTCACCACGTGATCTGCGGAGAGGGCTACTCAGAGAGTCAGAGGTTCCGACCCTCCCAGAAAATGAAAAAAAGATTATGGAAAAAATTAGGAAATTAATTGTGGAAATGTATCCAAGACCCAAATCTTTAAATGGATGTATCTCATTTTTAGCATATTCTCTCTCCATTTCTTATTATAAGATCTAATTTTTTGAATCAGTTTGTTTTTGTTATAATATTTTTTTTAGTTTGTCTAAATAGTTAATACAATATTACTTATTTTATCCTTAATTCATTATATTTAATACATTCTCTTTTTTCATTTATTTCACTATTACTTTCTCACATTTATATATAAGTATATTTATAAAAAGAAACTGCATTTGCTACATATTAATTACTTTTAACTATTTTTTTAAACCATATAATTTAGTTAAAAGGATCTTATAATAAGAAATAGAGTAGTATAATTCTTCTTTAATTATGAGTAATTTACCAATAGCTATGTGTAACATATTTTGATTATTTTCTATTATGCGCAAATGTTTTTATTTTGCACATAATTAAAATACAGGTTGCACATGGTTAAAGAATAGTATTACTCACTGAAAATAGATTACACATGTTCTTAAACAAATTCTAAATATTCTTGCACAATTATTTTTTAATAAATAAGTTTAACTGCTTTTTACTTTTTTATAATACATTTTTAATTGATGTATTTTTATATCGGTATGCTAATTTTAATAATTAAATATTAAAAAAATTTCCATAAAACTATTATAATTTTTTTTGTATATTTAATGCAAATAACCAACTTATCTCTCTTTTAGATTGTACGAGTTAACAATAACATGACATCATATTTAGAGTCGGGGGGAGTCTTGATCAATTGAGTTAAAAAAATTTTATGCTAAAGTATTTAATTTTAAAATATTTTAAATACTGTAAAAGAATTGGAATTCAAGGTTAAGTTTTGGATTAAAATTTATGCTTTATAATTTTAATTTAAAAATTGTATGTAGCATTAGTTGAAATAATTTTAAATGTAACAATGGAAGAATATTAATATATGATTGTCAAATACTACTTTAAATATAATTATGCTCAAATTGATTTCGTTGTCTTGGATTTTTCTCGTTTTCAGATCGTCACTTTGTCCCCAGGCCCCCCACTTCCCGCTTTCAACGTCAGGTATCTGGCAATTTTCCACACGTTTGGCCTTAGCAAGAAGAAAATTCTAAATTTATTACCCATTTTTATTATAAAATATAATTTTAGAAAAACTTAAACATTAAATATTAAACCCAAAAAAAAAATACCCAACTATCAATTATTGGCCAAAAACATCAACTCCAGAATTGGTCACGCGAAATGGCATTTGGTACAACTTAAATTATTCAAAAGAAAATATATAATTTATTTAACTCTTGTCTCAAAACGTAACAATATCATCCAAGAGTTATTAGAATAATTATTTATTATTTATACACACAAAAACATTTTTGAAGTGTGGAAAGCATAAGGTAGGAATGCCAAGGTCCGGTATTTAATATAAGAACTCTTTTTATTTTTATTTCAATTCTAAATATAATACTTCAATCTATTTTGTCTCTTATATTTATCTTTTTTTTTAAGATAGTCTTTACAATAATAGTAGTTCTAACCAATAATTAGCAAGAATATTTTAAAAAAGACAACGCTTATTTATTATAAATAACTAAATTAACTAATTTTTTTAATCTACTCAAATTAGTTAACTAATTTTTATATTAAGAAGGCTGCGTTGTTGTTACTTGTTAATGATAATAATTTATTTACAAGAATGCCCCTACTTGTGAAGAGGAACAAAGGGAAAAAAAAGGGGGGGGGAAGGAGGAGGAGGCGCCAGGCATATAAAAAAGTTAAAAGGATTCGGCTGGTTCAAAGTAGGCTCGGTGTGTACAAGAAGATCAAGCAACCTTTATTTATTTATTTATTTTTTGCCTGAAGATCAAGCAACCTTCATGAGCATCGTAGAATCCAACATTCTTCTCTCTGACACAGCTCACAATTTGAGGCTTTTTAATCCGGATGCTATAAACAGTGATAATAATTTCCAAGATGCTACCAGATGAAATTTTTTTACCAAAATGCCGCAGAAGAAATAGTTCATGGTGAGAATGATTTTGGATTTGCAGAAAAATCGTTCAGCGCTAGCTGAATTTGCCTTTCATATGATTTGACATTTATTTTTTTAATAAAATAAAAAAACTGAAATCAGTTCCCTCAATGAACGATTTTAGCTTTACCTCTAACACTTATTTTCACTGCTATTTTCCACATTTTTCCTCCGCCTCTACGCTTCTTATCATCTATTCTCCACTTTCTTTTTCTTTTTTTCAAATCATTTTTTTCTTTATTTTTTTGGGTTATTAATTAATTCGCAGAAAAACGCGCCCCCTCATCCTCTTCTCTTAAAATAATTTTATTTTGATGAACCATTTCATATTTATTTTCATCCCATCTTGTACAAGGCATGGTCCATATAAGAATTATACAATAATAATCAGGAAAGTTTGCGTAATATGTATTTTAATTTTAAAAGAAGTTGATATAATTTTTTAAAACAAAAGGGATGTTTTTATAAATATGAATGGCCGAAAAATAGGACTGTTTTTTTTAGGAAAAATTAAGGAGAATGACCTTAAAAAAAAACCCTCAAGACCAAAATATAAAATTTATTTTGTAGTGTAAATTATACTATAAAGTGGATTTTCTATTAAGAACCAAAGGAATAGTTAGTATTTATTAAGACGGATCTTAAAAATCATAATTAATATGAAGGACCAAAAATTAAAATAAAAATTAACTATGGGGCCTAGCACAGTTTGCACTTAGCTGGATTTTTTAAGTATCTAGTCAGAGGTTCAATCCCTGACAGTGTGTATGGAGAGGGTTTTATAGCTAACACCAAAGCTCTTTAAGAAGTTTATGGTATGAGGAGATTAGTCATTACTATTGATGATGAAAAAATATAAAGAAAAAATGATTTCAAAAAAAAAAAAAGATGGAGAATAGATGATAAGAAGTGTGTAGGCAGAGGAAAATGTGCGAAATAGTAATGAAAATAGGTGTCAGAGGTGAAGCTGAAATCGCTCGTTAAGGGAACCGATTTTAATTTTTTATTTTATTAAAAAAATAAATGCCAAATCACATGAAAGACAAATTCATCTTGTGCTGAACGATTTCTTTGCAAATTCAAAATCGTTCTCAGCGTAAAAGATTTCTGTTGTAACATTTTGATATAAATTTTTCATCTTATAACATCTTGGTAATTATTTTTACTGTTTATAGCATGTGAGTAAAAAAGCCCACAATTTGATCTTGCCCTTTTTTTTTAATTCTGTTACATGCAAAAAACAAACTTATACCTGTCCAATTCTAAATATAGAACATATTTTATAATATAAATTATATTATAAAATAAGTTTTGTATTTAAAATTGGAAGAGTAATATATTGAAACAAAAAACTGAAAACACATAAAAAAAAAGTGTTTTCGTATAATATTTCTTCATTTGATGATTAAAATAAAGATAAATTGGGTTTAACTAGCCCATTTGTGACGGTTTGGGTTCATAAAACGATAACTCATTTTCATGAAACTTTTTTCAATTAGTCTTGTTTGCAGTTGTTTATATTAAGTGTTTATACGTATATTCATATAAGTCAAGACAAATTCTTTTCTGTTAATTACAATTAAAAAGTTATTTTTAAATAATCTTATAGTTATTCCAAAGAAGCACAAAAACTTTCAACTTGTAAATTGTTATGAGTTGGTTGGCTTTTTTAAAATTTAATTTTAATAACAAATTACTTTTTACATTGTAAATATGTCTTATATTAAAGATTGAAAGAGTATTATTTTACACTTAATTTAACATCGGCTAGTTTTGTTCTGTGAACTTAATTTCATATTTGATAAAATAATTATATAAATTATATTATATATTTACTTTTATAAATTTCTGAGTTAATTTAATTATTTGAATTTATAGAAATATAAAAACAATTCAAATTTAGTTTACATAGGTCTAAAACATAATAATAAAATAAGAGGTAAGCAGGGGGGACTTTTATTTTTAAAAAAATTACTCTCAACTCTCGAATTCCTTGGATCTCTTAATAAAGCTTAAGTTTAAAAGTTTTAGGGCTTGTTTGTGCAT